TGTGTGTGTGTGTGTGTGTGTGTGTGTGTATTTTAAATGAAATTATATACTGGAAGCATTCAGAACAGTCTGGTATAGGGAAGTTTAAACTTGTCCTCTGAAGGTTCAATTAATTGAGTGCTGAAATAAACTGACAGTAAACAGATTAACAAGAGAAAATTGCATGCAAATTTATTGACATGCAAATGTGCACAAGAGGCACACCAAATATGATACTCAAAGAAGGGCCAGATGATTGAAGCTTAAATGCTCTCTTCATAGAGGAGAGAGAAGTGGGGGATGCAGGCAATTTTAGAGGAAAAATACATGATTTTTTTAGGAGAAATGAGTAGGCCCAAAGAGCAGATAATAGCATGGGGTAAAGTTCCTCTGGGCTCTGAGGGAGGTGGCAACAAAGTTATGGGAAGATGAGAGACAGAACTGCACTGCAGACAAAGGTGGTTTTATGTAGGTAGTTTGTCAGGGAATAGCCTTAAGAAGAATAGTTGAAATAATAGGTGAAAAGTCAGTTCTGGGCATGGTGTCCCGGGCATGGTGACTTTTAGTTTCCTCTCTTGCCATAGGAGTTAATCTTCTCTTGTTAATGTAGATTCTCCACTATGCTAGAGATACACTTGGTTTTTTTTCTAGGATATTTAGTTGACTTTATAGTAAAAGATAAATAAAACACCAAAAAACCATATCATAATTTCAAAGACCTTGCTTCTCTCCATAAAATAGTATTCTTATTGCACTCTGTATCAGTCAACTGTTGCCATAACGAACCGCCTCAAAACCCAGTGGCTTACTGAAATATTGTCACCATGTTCACAGGTTTGCTGGTTGGCTGTGGTGGCTCTTCTCTTCATGTGCCTTGTTCTTTCAAGGCAAGTGGCCTACCTAGGTCACATTCTTGAGGAAGTTGCAGAAGTTCAACAGGGCCATGCAAGTGCATTTTATGTCTCCTTGCATGCTGTCTGCTAATGTGCCATTGGTTTAAGCCCATCATCAGTGCCACAAGGAAATATGCTGTGTCTCTAGTGGCAGGAGGTGAAAAGTGACAAAGGGTGTGGATAGTGGATATAGAGATGGGAGAATTGGGAATCTAGCACGGGCTGTGTAATCTTTTTGGGGGGTGGGAGGGGGGCACTCCAGAATGTTGAAACTGCTATTTAGATGGGAGTCTGTTACATGTAGCTGAATATAGTTTCTAATTGATATATTATTTCTATAAGAGGTATTTGGACTGCCTTATCTTAAACTTTTCATGTAATTTGTTTTAATTTTTGGATATATATATGTTATGCATATTTAAATTGTCAAGCATGTTTTGAAATGCACATCTTACAGTTTTAACATCAACAAATCTGAATGCAGAATGTTTAAAACCTATTTATTTTGAAATAAGTTCAAATTTAAAGTTGCGAGACTAGTACAAAAAACTTCCGTAACTTAGTTTTTTTCCTGAAACACTTGAGAGTGAGTTGCCACATCATGCCCCTTTACCACTTAAATACTTCAAGATCTATTTCCTATTCTCTTACCATACTGCAGTTATCAAATTCGGTTATTTAATATAAGCAGTCTGTGTTCACATTTCTGCAATTGTCCCTATAATATCCTGCACAGCGTTTGGTATGAGATGCAGTCAGGCTTCCTATGTTGCATTTGGTTGCCTTGCCTCTTTCATTTCCTTTAATGTGGAGACTGACTCTTTGTCTTTCATGATATAGACATATTTGAAGGTAATAGAACAATTATTTTTACACAAATATCTCTCAGTCTGGGTTTGTCTGATGCTTCTTCAAGATTAGATTTAGGTCATGCATTTTTGGCAGGGCTAGATCACAGGCTGTACTGTGTCAGGCTCACACTGCCATTTTGTCATTGTTAATATTAACTTTGATCCCTTGGTTAAGGTGGTGACTGTTAGGTTTTCACTGTAAAGTTATTCTTTCTCAAAGTTTGAAACTTTGTAAATACTCTCTTTCTCATCAAATTTTCACTCAGTAGTTTTAGCATTCATTGAAGAGTCTCAACTGAATTATTACTGAGATAAATGTCAAACATTTTCCAAAAAGATTTCACTACATCCTAATGTATTCTGGTGACTAGGCTTGTTTTTCCTATCATATCCATTGTGATTTCTTTATTTTATGATGCCATTTTATAGCTTCTGGGAACTTGCTTTAAGAAATACACAAGTGTAGGGAGGAACTTGGTTCTTTTTAAGGAAAGATCAGGGGAGGGTTTGATAGTAGAATCCTATCCTTCTATATTCCTCTCCAATAGAGTGTAATTGATTTATATAGACAAGTAGGATAGAAAGAAGACTGAAGCAAACGGGGGCAAATGGTCTATTCAGTTTAGGATCTTTTATGACAGTTAAATTGGAGAACGAAATGATTCTCTTTTTCCCTTGAATAGATCTTAGTATGGCCGTGATGTAATGGCCCACCTAAGCATGGGCTGTCAAGAGCATGACTTTTTCATACATCCTAGATGATGTTCTCCTGGGGTTTAGCCAATGTGCAAATCACTCTTTTTCTTGTTGGGAGGCATAAATGAAACGGTGAAGAATGGGACAGAAACTATTAATTCAGTAAGACTTCTTGGGTAGTAATATAAAGAAGTTCCCTTTTTGAAACATGAAAATGCAATCAGGGCTCTCCACAGAATGATTCACTCTAAAAGATTTAAGTTTGGTTAGTCTCTCTCAAGTTCTATTTTTCTTTTCTTTCTTTCTTTTTTTTAACTGTAGTTTACTTTATTCTGCATTTTCTGCTTTTTTTTTTTTACCCAAAGGTCATTTATTTTCTTCTCCTTTTATATTTTGAGTTCAGAATGTAATGATTTTGTTTTTTCCCTTCCTACTAGCACCAGCAGACGTTTTTGAATCAGCTGAGAGAAATTACTGGGATTAATGACACCCAGATACTACAGCAAGCTTTGAAGGTATGGTCTCTATTTTATGACATACAGTTTGTGGTGTCCCCTCATCTCTACTGCATACCATATTTGAAAGTTAAGTTTTTTAATTAAAAAAAAAAAACAAATACCATATAGTAGTAGTAGAGATATAGGAATGGACTTCTACAAAGTAAGATCCTCACTTAACATACTGCAGTTTTGAGCATGTTAGCTTCCAACAATCTAATATTCCTACAATACCTTTAAGTGACATATTCTCCCTATATATGAAATGCTTTTTAGGCAAAATGGTGGGATGTGAATCCTAATTTTAAAGGATGATTTTACTCTAGGGCTGTGATTTTAGAGTTTAAATGGAGTGCAGGTTGGGGTGGGTTAGAAGATGTGGAAAAAATGAAAAAGTAGAAAATTAACAGAGGACCAAAAGCTTACATTTTTTTCTCCCAAAATGGGGAAATGTAAATTGGTTTCCATTCAACTAATTACACCTTAAGAATGTTCAACTTCAAACTTTTCAGTATATGCAACGAATAAAGTGCATCATTTTGGATATATCTTAGTTGTAACCTCATTTCCACACAGAGATACTCAGATGAATTAAATCACATGGATATTCCCATTTAAAAAGATAAAGAGAATGAAGGATATTCAGGAAATAGAGCTGACCAGTACTTAAGATTATTTGTATATTGCTACTAAAGGCTAAAAACAGTATAGCATTTTTCCTGTTATAGTCCTATCCACGGCTCCAATCTTTTGGAACTTGCTTACTGAGACAAAGTTAATTAGGTAATTCTGAATTCTGAGCCAAATGCTCTTCACTGGTTCTAGAAATAATTTATCCTTCAGATGATTGTAATCAAAATCATCATAATGATAATGACTAGCACTTATTAAACACTTATTAGTACCAGGCACTATTTTAAGTAATTTATGTGGGCTAACTCCTCCTCATAATAACTCTGTGAGATAAGTAGTATTTTCATTCCTATTTTGACTCTGAGGAAACAGGTTAAAGTAACTCACCCAGGATCACACAGCTGATATGTGGAGGAGCTTGGAATAGAAACTAAAGCAGCCTGATCCCAGCGTGCTACACTTGATTTCTGCTTCTTTTACTAGAAGCGTTGCTTCACCTTATTTCCCGATCTGGAAAATGATGAAATAGTACTGTTTAGAGCATTAATGCAAGGCTTATGAAGCTACTGTAAGTATTTGGAGAAGAAGCAGAAGTGTCACACCTCAATTTTTATGATTATGACATTTAGATGATTGCTAGCCTTTTCTTTATTCTGGTAAATAGCATCATTAAATCATTGCATGTCTATTTTCAGAAAGTACTTTTCCCATTATGTATTACTGAGTGTGAATCTACAACCTCTCCACCTTGCCAGGGTAAATTTGGAGAATTCACTATTTTTTTTTTTTTTTTAACTTGGGAAACATATAGAACCAATTAAGTCTTGTCCATATTTCCTTCGATGAAAGTTGTGTGAGCATAGGTTTTTTTTTTTCCCCCCAATTTTTGTTTCAGTTACCAGTAGCTGGGGGAAAACAGTGTATTTGAGCCTTAATTGTTGCCCATTATAAATTTGTAAGATATTTCATAATGAGTTGACACTTTTAGTAATATACTGACAAGGAGTCTACTTTTGGGCAATACAGTGTCATTGATTATTAGTAATTTCAGCACTTTTAATTTGAGAATGTATTTTTAGTCCTACAAAGCAAATGACCTTCAATTTGTGTAAATTCCTGCCTTATTTAGTTTTTTATTATTATACGAGGTAGTATATGAAAAACACTTGGCACATTTCTTGGCATATGAAGTGCTCAATAAATATTAGTCATCGTTATTGCAATTTATTCTGTCATTAGTTTACTTGTCTAACAATAGAGTGTGTTATGCCTATATTTTGTATGAGTCGTTTAAGAGTCTTAGAGTGATTGTGACAGGTAACATACTTGAAGGCCGTGGTGCTTTTCAATCTGCACTCTTTTCTCACTGGCTGCTAGGACTAGAGTTGGGATAGATTTTGGGAACTTCATTCTTCTAGTTACTTGAGCCTCAGAGTTTGGAATCATCCTGATCCTGCTTCTATTACTTCACACATTTAATAGGATAGCAAATAATGTTGGACTCTCTGCTTCTGCCCTTTCTCTCCTTTAGTCTACTCTTAATACATAACCAGAGTGAACCTTTTAAAATGTAAGTCCACATACCATGTCGTTCCTTTCCAAAACCCTCCACTGGTTTCCTGTTACATTCCTGCATATGCTTAAGTTCTTAGGGCCTACACAGCCTTCCATGTTTTTGCTTTCTGCTAAAAAGATACCTTCATTATGAACATCTGATTTCCTGTGTTGTTTCAATCAGTTGTCTTAGAGCTAGTGTTATATTTTATTTATTTATTGTCAACCATATAGAGAATATAAAGATATAACTGGGCAAGTCTTTTCTCATAATTTTGCTGTTTTAAAAATTCTTAGGGGGGATGGACACGCTTGTAGCTCTGACTCAGGCGGGGCAAAGGCCATATATGTAACCTAAACGTTTGTACCCCAGTAATATTCTGAAATAAAAATACATAAATAAATAAAAATAAAAATTCTTATTCTAGCGTCTGCTTTCTTTTAAATGAACTTTAGAATAATTTTGTCCAAGTATGTTTTTTATGAGCACTGTGTAAAATGTATATATTTAATTTGGGTCAGGATTGTCATCTTGACTGTATCGAATATTTCTGTCTAGAGTTCTGTGTGTCTCTCCATACTATCAAGCTTCAGTGTATTTTCCTATTTTCTTCCAATGAGTCCTTAACATTTTCCTTGTTAAGTTTACTCAAAGGTATGTATCTAGTACCCAAATTAAATGTAGTATCTCTTATTGTCCTTGTTTGCAGAAGTACTATTAATATTTTCAATATTCATTTTGCACTCTTTTGTATGGCAGGTTCCAGAAAGCAATTTTTTAATTTATTTATTTGTTTAAAAATTTAAGTTTGTGATTGACTTTTATTAGGCAGATAGGAAAGTAATGGAAAACTAAGCAATTAGAGAGTTGATTTTTATATTATATTATTGGTTTTAATTAATAAAAAAGGAATTACTGTTGATATAGTATACTTTGTGTGTGATGAATTTACACTATAAAATTAGAATCATGAATAGAATAATTTCAAATCTGAAAGTGATTTTTGGTATAAAGTATTATTATGGAAAAAATTGCATAAATTTTACTAGAGTATATAGAATTATTCCAAAACATTTGCTGTTTCTGTCTTGATATTTGAAGGATAGTAATGGAAACTTGGAGTTAGCAGTGGCTTTCCTTACTGCGAAGAATGCTAAGACTCCTCAGCAGGAGGAGACAACTTACTACCAAACAGCGCTTCCTGGCAATGACAGATACATCAGTGTGGGAAGCCAAGCAGACACAAGTAAGTTTTCTTTTGTTTCTTACTATTTTAATAGAAATGTACTGAAAATTTTTCCTGGTAATAATTTTGCTTAAGCAGAGGTGAAGACCAAGTAAAGAACTACTTTAACCGTGGTTCTTTTTAGTGTAGTTGAAAGGAACATATATTTTTACTAGCTTTGTTATACTTTTTTCAGATTCGAAGGAAAAGATTTTATTTAAATTATGTATCCTTTCATAGAGCATTTCATGTAGTATTCATTGCTTTGAAATATGGAACAGCTGCAGTTATCATATTCATAAAAGGAAAAATTCCTAGAATTTTAAATGGGCACAATCATGTATTGTGGATTTTAAGTGTTGTTAGAGGCCTTAGTATTACTTTTGAAGGTAAAGTATTATGTCTAATTGCTGATAGGCTTACTATTTAACACAATTTCCCTTCTCTCTCACTCTCTTTCAAATAAAGATTTGGGGAAAAAGTTTAATACTTTGTAACAAAATGCTCTTTCATCTCAAACAAAACAAAACAAAAGGCCTTGGAAAAAGTATTTTGGAGATACACACACACACACACACATAAATATGGAAGATTTTACATGGGACTTTAGTTTTTCTTCATAATATGAATACTGTAGGCTTACATAGCGCTCAAGAGTTTTCTAAAAATATGTTCAGCTACCTTCCTATCTCATAGTTTAGTGATTGTACTATATAAAATATTTATTTTTATACATTATGGATTTGCAAAGTTTGATTATTAACATGTATTTGAAAAGAATTTCTGATTTTGTTTATAGACCATCTCAAAGTTAGGAAACAACCAGACAGAGCCCATTCACATACCTGTTTATGTTTTGATTGATATTAAATGTTGTTTGATGTTTATTGATAAGATATTTTAATTTCCAATTTTCAGGGTAATCTTGGTATTTTTGCTCCACAAGTGATATTATGTCAGCCACAGCTGGAATACTCCTTTCTCTCACAATTAATAGGTGATGAGAGAAGTTTTGTATATGTGAGACAAGCCCACATGCTTATGTCCAAGTTCAAGAGAGACTGTGACTTGGCCCCCATCCACATCTCTGGCCTCATTTTCCACTGCTTTCCTCCTCTCATTTTACACTATGATAATACAGAATGGCCTGAGGTTCTCATACACCAGTGTTACTTATTTTTTCTGTCTTTACACTTGCTATTTCTTTTGTCTGGAATCTCCTCTGGCCTTCCCTTCTCTAGCCTAATTTATTCTGGTTTTAAAAGATTTGGTTCAGGAGCTATTTCCTGGAGAATGTTTTCACTGGCTTGTAGCTTGCACTAAGTGCTTCTCCAGCATCCAGGGCATACTTCTGTCTTAATGAGTACTGCGTTATTTTGAAATTATTTGCTTGAACATCATTGGTGCTCAAAAATGTTTGTTGAATTATTTTTGATAATATGTGTAGAAAAGCCCTTTCAAAACCAATGAAAAGGGAATGCGGTTGAGAAGCTTGTTGCAAGAAGTTGGAAAACAGAAGTGGTATAAATATAGTAATAGTGAGTATTTGAGAATAACATCTCATCTTTCAAGGTTCTGAGATTTGAGGGGGGAAAAGAAACTAGTTAGGTAGTAAAAGGAAAAAAGAAAAGGATAAATTTTAAAGGCTACTGGTTTATGTGAAGCAAATAGGAAATTGACTAAACACAGTTCGGTGTTCTAGTCGAAAGGATAAAAAGATTTTAGAAAGGTAGTGTGAACTCAATATAGACAGTACACTTTGTAACATGAGATAGCATATGTGTGTATAAAGGGGAAAATTTGGATTATAAGTTTCAGAAACAAAAGAAGATACCATATTTGCTGTGTACTTAAGCCAAATGTTAACAATTGTTCAAGACTTTAGATAAAGAATATGGAAGACAAAATGGAAGATGTTATGGAAGACAAAATGAAATTTGAGTAGGTGCCCTTAGGGAGAAGGTGACCTAATTTCAGAAGACATGTGTCTCATTTGCTGATTATTTAAAATTTTTTTGTGTGTATGTATCTCTTGAAAAATAATTCACTAAGTAATTTTATTTTCAACTTGAAATAAAAGGTAGAGAAGTGGAGTTTCTGATTTCATCTCAACTGATTGACTGTTGTCTCGAGTAAATTGCTTTCTGTTGTGGTTTCTTTAAAACATGCAGTCTTTTTGATCAGGATGCTAATTGGGATAGTGTGTCCATAAAGTTGGTTCGAGATTGAGAAGCAAACTGTTGTAGAAATTTGATGTGGTGATTGTATTATGATAGTATCAGTATTAAACTGAAAAAGAAATAGCTGATGGAGTAACAATAATACTTTTCCATTTAACATAGTTGTGCCACGTTTTATAAAGTTCTTAGAAGCATAGCTGCCTTTAGGAAATCACCCTGATTCAGCACTTAAATTTAGACAACGTAACACTGTGTCATAACACAGTATACATGGTCTAAAACTGAGAAGGTAAGGAGATGTCGTGCATTCAGCAGGTATTTTAAAAAACACTCTCTTTAGATTACTGTGCAATTACTGTTGAGAAGAAATGAAATCTTGTGTACTTTTAATTCTTGGACCAGAGTGGTAAAGTTTACATGTGGGAAGGAAAGATAGAAAATAATTACAAATGAATATATATTCAAATGTGGGCCCCTGTTGAAAAAAATTGTGTAAGTGCTGTAGGAATGTGAAATAATAGAATGATCACAGTTTGAGGAAGTTTTCAAGGGATTGTTGTAGATACAAAAACATTTCTTGAGCATTTTCTCAGTTTAATATGAAATACATTGTTATTTGAGAGTCGACTGTAGTTTAACTCAATTCTTTAAAATATGGCAGGGATTTTTATTTTTAGTCATTTTTTTCTTTCTTCTTTTTGAAATATGAAATCTCTTACAATCAGGGCTAAAGCATAAACAGAGTTATGCTGACTTTTAAGTGTCATCTATTGATTGTAGTGCTGACAAAACATCTTTATTTTGAAATAAAAATATTTAATACTAAATATATCTATTTCCTTGTTGATACAAGCTGCAGTATAACTGCTTACAACTGAGTGTCTCTTTTAGAAGGAAAAGCACACATTTAAAACATTTTTTTGGTGACTAGAACAATTCAGTTTTTAAACTAATATCTCTTAGAAGTTATATTTGGAACTTGTGGAGAAATTTTCATTTAAGTACATCTGATATATCAGAGGCTAAAATAAATTATGTCACTTGATTTGAAGAGCACTTATATTTGTGAGCCTGAATTTAATATTGAACAAATAATTACATTTTCAGTAGTTAGTAGAAGAATTGTATGCCTTTTTAGTGTACTTTTACCTTTCACTTTTGAGGAAAAAAGAAATATTTCAAAGAAAGCTTGTACTCTACATCTGTGGTACCCAATGCCCCTCCCACCCCTTGGTCCCTGGCCGCACTGCAGTAGGTGAGTGGCAGGCCAGGGAGGGAAGCTTCATCTGTGTTTACAGCCGCTCCCTGTTGCTTGCTTGGGTCACTGCATAAGCCTGGCCTCCTGTCAAATCAGGGCCAACATTAGATTCTCTTAGGAGCACAAACCCTACTGTAAACTGTGCATGTGAGGGATCTAGGTTGCATGCCCCTTATGAGAATCTAGTGCCTACTGATCTGAGGCGGAGCTAAGGCAGTCCTTGCTAGCACTGGGGAGTGGCTACAAATACAGACTATCATTGGTGGAAAGGTTTGACTGCACAATAAATGTAATGCACTTGAATCAGCTCGAAAGCATCCCCCGGCCCCTGTCCGTGGAAATATTGTCTTGCATGAAATTGGTCCCTGCTGCCAAAAAGGTTGGGGACTGCTGCTCTACACAACAAGGAATTTAGAAGTAGTGTACCTGGTGTCTTTATGTTACTTTGGTAACATTCCATACTGTAATTTAATACTCTGTTGAGTCTGGGAAAAGGCTGAAATCATTTGTAGTATAATCAGCAAATATTCTAGACAACTTTTTTCATCACCTGGCTTTCCTGTCCAGATTAGATCTTGTAGATTGTCAAATGAATTCCTCTTGCTCCCACCTTAAATTGGTAATAAAATTGTTTTGGAGTTTTGCAGTCAAAAATATTAATGAAAATGGGACTAGGACACAGTGTAAGGTTTTGAGTATTATAGATGTACTTAATAGTCAGAGGATAGATTCTGCAAAGTTTTTGTGTCTTGGCAAACTCTGTCATAGACACGACCGTACAAAGCTTTTGCCCAATTTGAGATCTAATAGTAATATTCTTTATTTCTTGACCATTAAATTCTTTTGAACTTTTTTAAAACAGGAGAAAAACAGTATATGCCTACCAGAACAAGATGTGCTACAATTGAGCGATCAAAAGATAAGAGGGATTTGGGTAGGTAATTTTAACACAGAAAGTAATGCCACATATTTACTTACGTTTTAGAGAAATTGGTGTAACACATTGGAATGAGTGTTAAGTGATAGATTCTTCAAAAATTTATAATCAGTCTATTTTTTCCCTAAAAACAACTTGAATCATTTGGAAAGAACTCGAGGTTCTGTCCTGGAATTCTGGTTATGGTTATATTGCTTGGCCAGACTAATAGTGATTTAAGGCTCAAGTGATAAATATGTACCATACTAGTGCCCCTATCCCTACTGAGGATAACTCACTATGGTAGTTTGGAATTTAATTAATTGAACACTGATATTTTCTTATTCCCCCAAATTTTTTAAACAAGTAACTTCAGATAGAAAAAAAATAATGCAATAAAATTTAAATCTTTTTTACATAGAAATTTCTACTACATCTGTTTTGATGATTTACCAAAAATCAAAGTTAAACTTAAAACTGATGCTTAATGGTATGAAAATTACTTCTAACTCATTAGATGCAGTTAGGCACTTCAAACTGATTAGATGCATTCTATTAGATATGAACTGTATGTAGAATGACTTGTATAACTTTATGAGTATTCTTTATTTTTTGGGCAGAATGATAGCCATGGGCCTTTGCACATTTTGTTGACTAATATGGAATA